AGACTTAAAAATTAACTAGACGCGAAAATTAACTAGACTTAAAAATTACCTAGACCTAATATATACCCTTTATACTAACCTAGATAACTGTAGAGTATCTAATAACTTTTAGAATAGTTAGATAGATCTAGAACAGCCTTAGAAGAGTAGGCTACCTTAATAATAAAACTATATAGTAGTTAAAAACTAGAAGTGTATAATAAGAACTAATACTATACTACTATTTACTACTTAATACCTAATCTAAACTTATTATCTTTAGTATCTTAGACCTTATAAACCTTTTCTATTTAACTAGAATTATTCCTAAATAAGTTAGCTATATAAATATTTACTAACTTCTTATTATTAGTATTTTTTTACTATATTTATTCTAGAGGAGCTTATCTATTTATATAAGAGATATATATTAAAGTAATAGTATAAGCAAGACCTATAGCCTTTTTATTATACTTAGCTAACAGCTCTATCTACTAAGCTAGTCTTATCTATATAATAGAATACTTAAGGTAGGTATTTAAAATTATTACTTAGGGTAATAATATAAAGATTCCTATACTAAACTAGTTATATAGTATATTCTATCTCTTTCTATATTTAAGGTACCTACTATATAATGTCTATTCCTTAGGAAAATCTTGTTTTAATATAGCAGTTATAGGCTACCTAAATATTAGGTTAGTAAGTTACTCTTTATAGACAGCTAAGAATAATTACTCCTTAGCTAATATTATAAAACCTTAACCTCTCTTAGAGCACTTAGCTTTACTTTATATTAACTTTTTAAGTTTCTTATATTCTATATAGAGAGAGGATATAATCTATTAATACTATATTTTACTAACTAGGGTAACTGCTTTATTAAACTATATAGTAAAAAACAGGTTCCTAAAATTAGCTATATCTAGTATTAAGAGTCTACTACTATTATTTAAATTTAATAAGGTCTAGGTTAGAGCTATCTAGGTATTTTACTATCTAATTATATAGTCTAGCTTATCCTCTAATTTAGATCTAGTAGTAAATAGAATAGAGGATCTCTAGCTATTACCCTTAATAAATAACAGCTAACCCTTATTAAACTATAACTACTATATAGAAAGAACTACAACCTAGTTCTTAATTAATTTAACTATACTAACTATAATAGCTCTAGTAATTATACTAGTAACTATAGTTACACTAGCGCTAATAAATCTCTTAGAGAAATTCTAGTATTAAATCTATTTATTACTTAATAAGGTAATATCCTTATTAGCTATAGTAACCTCCTAGCTACTAACTACTATCTATATAAAAGCAGTGTTTAATTATTCTATTAACTTCTTAGTCCCTTTGCGTAAATTAGTATTATAGCTCTTTTTAGCCTACTTAGCACTACGTATACTGTAGTAGAGTAATATAGAAAGTATATCTAAAGAAGTATTAGAGTAAGATTATATAATATAGGTTATATAATCTAGGATTAGTATATAGCAGTTAAGCCTTTAATAGGAGCTTAATAGAGTATTAACTAATAATATACTTATCCTATCTAGTATTAAGCTACACGTGCCTAAAGAGGCGTTAAAGACCTCTTCTCTATATATAGTAACCTACGCAGGAATTAAAGAAGCTTTCTATTTATAGCTATTTAGGTATAATACTAAATTATTCTTATAATATATTTATCTGGAAAGTAATTAATTTTTAGTAATAATAATAGGACTTTAGTAAGTCTAAGTTAAGGATTAAGAGACTAATATAAGATAGGTACAATACTAAATTATATTTAGTACCTAAGAATTAGTACTTTAAGAACTTAATAAGGTATTAGTATACCTCTAGGAAATTTAGTAACCTTATAACTAGAGATTATACTAGACCTAGAAAACTAAGGAGTTACCCCTAAAGAAGCTATTAACGCAATAGCTAGTATACTAGTTATACTTAGATAACTCTTAGAAATTATCTTACTACTATAAAATTTATATAATTAGTATATAACCTATAGTTATACTTAAGCACTCTTTAGTAATAAGAATTAGCTAAGAAATAATTAGAAGAAAGAGATTAAGGGTAGCAAGTACTGCTAGGTATAGACAAAAAGAAGAAGAATAAATAAGGCAAGAAGCTTACTAACAAAGAATAGATATATAATAGTAATAATAACTTTCCTTATAATCTTTTCTACTATAAAGACCTTTTAGAGATCTTTACTTCTTCTTTTTATAGTAGTTAAGATAGTTCTTACTGCTTACTTATTACTTATCTTTATAATTCTTATTTATACCTTTCTTATTTTTAAGATAACTAATAATCTCTTACTAATAGGTTATACCCTAAATACTAACTCTTCTACTAAGTATTTATTATTTAATGTAGGTTAATTATTAGCTCTCCTAACGTAAGCCTAGAGAGAGAAACCTAGAAATAACTTAAGTAATAATAAAACTCCTAGCCTATTTAAAGGTAAGGTAAAACTTCTAAAGCCTAATACTAAATTAATAAACCTAACTACTCTATTTCTAGTAAATATAGCTTAAATAATAGTAATACTTATTTAGAACTAATTAAAGCTTAGCTAGGTACCTTTCCCTACTAAGTATATACTAAGTTTTAATAGTGCTAAAGTTACTATTTTTATTAAGTAATATAAGAAAGTTACTCTGTATTATAGCTTCTTAGAGATTAATAAGATCTAATAAGTAATTACCTACTACTAGTAAAGGCAGAAGAATATTATTTATTACTCTAAGAAATACTAAACAGCCCTTAAAGGTAAAGACTAGAATACACTAAGAGAAGCTCTCTAACGCAAATTTA